CCTGCCTCTTTCCTCTTCATCCTCCGGCGTCCAGGGAACGTTGCTGATGATGATCCATGATGAGGCCGAGTTAGATCGTCCATCAACGAGCTCGTCCCATGAAGAAGAAGAATTTGTTGATGGTGTATTAGAAGGTTTGACTCAAATAGATGGTGGTTGTGGGTTTGGCTTCGTTGCTACAGTACAAGAAGAAGAAAAAGGTGATTGTGGATTGACATATTTATAAGTTTATGTTGTTGAGTTTTGGTTGGGAGCATTGAATGAAATTTAATGTCTTTGGTGTGAGTTTAATGTTTGTTGGTCTTCTGGGATTCTACTATGAGCTAGTTGGATACTTGTTACCTACTGTTTGTTGGACGTTGTTTGTAGCCCATGTTTAATTTGTGTGGATACTAGTCTGGGCATATTTTATATTCATTTAAATATTGTGGATACTAGTATGTCGGATTATAATACGGATACATATTTGGAGCAATAGGATACTATTTTAAGATTCATGGATACTACTGTTTACGGATATTTGTTACACGTATTATGGGAATTATTCTGGGCACATTGGATACTAACTGGCAATGGAAATATCTCGCAGCTCACAACACTTCGGACCTAGAAGATGATGAAGCGAGGAATAACATCTTTTTTCGCACTAAGGAAGAGTGTGTTCGTTTCTACGTACACTATGCTCACAAAAAGGGGTTTGGTGTTCGAGTAGATTCGCAACATTTGAGAAAAAGGAAGAATTCTGAAGGAGAGGTGGTGGAAATTTATGCCTACCTTTATTATGTTTGTAATAAGCAAGGGTCAACGGAAGAAGTCAATGTTGAGAAACAGAAACATGGAGAGGATTCTGTTGTAGAGAGAAGTCGCCCTAAAAGAAAGAGGTCTCGAATTAGGGCTGAATGCCCCGCCCTTGTTCGTTTCCGATGGGATGAGAATAGGGATGGATATGTGGTGCACAATTTCATGGGAGCTCACAATCATGATTTGCAGCCCACCAAGCATGCTCACCTATTAAAGTCAAATAAGTCCGTGAGCGTTCCTCAAGGACTTGTTGCTGAAGCAAATCGCAATGCCGGGATGAGTCTTAGGTCATCGTATCAGCTATTGGCTGAGTGTGCCTTCCGGTATGAGAACTTGACTTTTACCAAATGTGATCAGAAGAACCATTTGAACAAGAATAGACAAAAGACTGTGTCTCGTGGCGAAGCGACTTTCTTGCTTGACTACTTTCAAGACCAAAAGGAGAAGTATCCCGGCTTCTTTTATGCTGTAGAGGTAGATTGTGAGGAGAAAGTTGCTAATATTTTTTGGGCAGAAAGTAGGATGCGTGTGAAGATTATGCACTTTTCGGAGACTCTGTCTCCTTCGACACCACCTTCTGAACCAATAAACACTTCCGGCCATTGGTTATGTTGACGGTTATGCATTGTTTTTAATACCAAGTCTTTTGCAGGGATGTTTGTAGGTTTCAATCATCACCGACAAACTTGTTTGTTTGGCGCTTGTTGGTTATATGACGAGACAACTCCTTCTTTTGAATGGTTGTTTGAAGCATTTAGTCGGTGCATGAAGAGGAAACTCCCAGTGACCATCTTCACAGATCAGGACACCGCTATGGTAGCTGCCCTTAGAAAGGAGTGGCCAGATGTGTTTCATGCCCTCTGTACTTGGCACATCTTGATGAATGCGAAGAAGAATCTTCGTAAGAGCAAGAAATTTTGGCATAAGTTCCAAAATCATCTTGCTTATCTTTTCTACTACGTCGACAGCGAGGCCGAGTTTGATGAGGCATGGAGCAGCATGGTTTCAGATTGTTTTCCCGGTAGTGAAACTGTCGATGGCCACCATTGGATGCAATATTTGAAGAAATTTCGTCATCAATGGTGTTCCTTATATCTGAGAGATCAATTCACAGCGGGAATGTTGACAACGCAAGCCAGTGAGTCGTGCAATTCACAAGTGCGACTCTTCTTGAAACCGAAACATAATCTCGACGAGTTTTTCATCCACTTTACCGGGTACTTTATCCAAATACTAGATGGAAATTTATGGATATTACTTAGCCCCTTAAGGACATTTGTAGATTATTTTCTGGTATTTGTATGTGATGCTGTGATACATTTTTGTGTTGTTTGGATATTTGCTCTGTTTGTCAATGGATATTAGTCTGGGCAATTTGGTTTTCTTCATACATGCAGTTTGTTGGCTGACAAAAGGCGCAAAGAGACTAAGTCCAACTATTATGGGAAACAATCAGCCCCTTACATAGTGTTGGAGAAAAGTTCCATCCTCCAACATGCTGCCAAGATCTTCACGAAAAATATCCTCAACCGGATTCAAGAGCAATATCTGGAAATTGAAGACTATCTAATTGAGCTTGTTCCAGATAATAGGGATGATGGCTTCATTAGCTACCGTACATATAAGATGGAGGATGATGAGCGTAGCGATGAACGTGTCATTCTTGTCGATACTTCTACGGCCACATTGGTATGCGATTGTAGGATGTTTAGAACATTCGGGGTCTTATGTCGGCATATGCTTAAGGTGATGCGATTGCTTGGAGAGTTTGGGAACGATAGTATGAGAACTATTCCAGATCATTACATACTCAAGCGATGGACGTTGGAGGCGAGAAGGAAAGAGGTTGGTGATGCTGATGCTTCAGGCGATACTTCACATAGTCATGAGAACAAGACGGGAAAAGGAGATATAGCAATGAGGTACCGAGAAACCACTACAATGTTTAATCAGCTCGCAACAAAATTGTCAATGGCGGATGAGTGAAAGTGTACAACAGGTGGATGGGAGCATTGCAGAAAGTGTGCAAGGAGGCAAACAAGGCATTGTCAAAGACTATAACTAGCGAGGACGGTAAGTGTATCGAATATTTTTTGTAAATTAGTATAAGTTAATATCATTGGACGGATTACTTAAGCCACTAACATTGTAGGGAATTATGTACCAACAACTGGCCTCTCTCTTAAGGAGAAGAGTAATCCAAGGAAGCACGGCAAGGAATGTTATAAGTCCACGAATGAGAAAGAGCGTCGTCGAAAGAAGATTGTCTATGGAAAGAGATTGAAAGCATTGAAAGTGCTCACGCAGGAAAACCATTTTCAACATGATGACCATCTCACTGACTTGGAAGACGACCTTGCTGAATTTGGGTGTGGATATTAGTCTGTCAAACTCGGATATTTTTTAAGCAGACTACGATATTTATCTACGTTGTAAGGATATTAGTATGAATTGTACGGATATGTCTTTTGGTTCTAAAAATATTATCTCTAAACATTCGGATATTTTTGTTATATTTTATGTATGTGGTTGTGTGGATTTTATGTATTTCCATCAAATATGCTCAGATTTTAGTTTGGGTGTTTTGGATAACACTTTGGGTCATATGATATACTTTTGTTGAAGGAAAGATATTCTTAATCCATCCTTGATAAACTAATAAAGCGAGCAATTTAATCAACATAGTTAGTGTCTACTTTTGTACAAATGTTACCAAAATAACACACTCAGCTTATACTAATAAAGCGAGCAATCAGGATAGAGTTAGTGTATCCTTTTCTCTAAAACTTCCCAAAATAACCCAATCACCTTAATACCTAAACATCAACATATGTCCCATGAAACATAAGGAGGTAAGTTTCAGTTTCTCTTCCCTTTCTCCTTATATGCTGCCCACTCCTTTGCCTGCTCAAGAATGACATTCCTTACTTTGTTGTATTTCCATTGAAGGAGACTGCCTGCAATAGATGCTCGCTGGTGCTCCACGTGCTTTTCCAAGTGCCAAGTTTCCTTGTATTCCGATGGAATGTGAACCCCCCAGCAGCCTAGTTATTCTGCTAACTGCATAAGTTGTTAGTATATACTAACTAATATCCAAAATGTATGAACATGTATCCAAGTTTGCTGAGTATCTAGATAGCACAGACTAGTATTCAAAACATCACAAACTAGTATCCAGATAGCAGATACCAACTAATATCCACAATCAACCAACTAGTATTCAATAGTGATACTCTTCTGTGTTATTTGGATACTTTTATGTGTTATGTGGATACTAATTATGTGTTGTATGGATACTATTCTGTGTTGTCTAGATATTTGTTTGTGAATTTGAGATAATAGTTGATTCGTGGTGGATATCAGTTAGCAAACTTTGAATACTAGTATGTGATCTCTAGATACTTTAGTACTTGGATACTAGTTCATGTATTTTGGATATCAGTTAGTATCTGCTAACGAATTTTCAAGTTAGCAGATTAACTTCCCCCCCCCCCCCCAGTGCTCCATGAACATGCACGCGAACACTCCACAGTCATCGTTTCCTTTTTGTTGAGGAACATCGGCAATTAAGAATTCCCAATCATGCAAGGGAAAATCGAGGTTGTGCTTTGCAAGGAAAGCAGCCCCATACTCTAATATCAATTTCCCCATGGGACAGTGATCCACCTTGGCCACTGCTGGCTTGGGTTTCTGGCTGTCCAAAAGGAAAGTCTTTTGACTCCTTAGATCAGCAGCGTAGACCCGGTAGTGTTTGTCTGTATGCACAGGGAAAAAAAGCTGAAACATAGAAAAAAATCAGTTATTCTCTCGGATAAATATCCAATAAACCCAGACTAGTATCCAAAACTAACATTTCATATATTCACAGGCAAATCTTCAAACAAATCAGTTATTCTCTCGGATAAATATCCAATAAACCCAGACTAGTATCCAAAACTAACATTTCACATATTCACAGGCAAATCTTCAAACAAATCAGTTATTCTCTCGGATAAATATCCAATAAACCCAGACTAGTATCCAAAACTAACATTTTAGATATTCACAGGCAAATCTTCAAACGAATCAGTTATTCTCTCGGATAAATATCCAATAAACCCAGACTAGTATCCACAACCACGTAAATCAGTATCGAGATAGAATAAGGATTCACTTACATATTCTACTTTGTCCCATGCAACTTGTTTGAAGACTGGAAACCGCTCGGTCAGTTTAATGACCCCATCGAGTCTCTCCTTGGACGGGGGCACATTCGTCTGAGGATTAAGTAAGGCAAGATGCTATTTGCAAAGTAAAATAATAGCTAATTAGTTACTGAATATCTAAAAATTGTAAGGTGTCAGTGAAGAGCCTACTTACACCAAAAGTGAACGGAAAGATAACTCTGTTCTTGTCACCGGCAAGTGCTTTGTCGTTCAAGAAATGACCATAAGCCTCAATCACTTGTAGATTGACCCACTCTAATCGCTTCAATGTCAACAGATGAAGACGGGCGAGTTTAATTGAAGGAGTGTGCACCACCAAGCCCTTACCCTCAGGGGTACTGAAGACGAACTCAACCATAAGATGAGCAACTGGGTCGAGCTTTGGCGACACATCCTTCGACAAATAATATACTGATGAAGAAGCATATGGGTTCTTCTTCGACCTCTCAAACTCTGGGGTCTTTAGTGTTGCAAGCCATTCCTCAGGTGTGTAGCTGTATAGACGGTCTCTCTCCTCGTCAGTCATATTCCTCTCATCCGTGATAATCACATCTGGACTCCTCTCAGTGCCCTTACAAGCCGCTTCTACCAACTCCTCGTCTGTAGGCAACATTCCCATCTCTGCAAGTTGAGAGAACGACTCCACCACATCTGTAGGTGGGTCTTCTTCCTCGGCATTAGCAGCGCTAGTAGCCTCATGAGCTATCTGCAAAATGTCCTCAAAAGAGGTATCTGGGACTGTATAGTGTATCACCATAGGGACTGTCGGCTCAAACACCTCCTCGTTCGGTGTCTCTACAGTCTTCTTAGCTTCATTCTCCACCACCTCAAATCGATTCTTCTCTTCAGAATCTTCCTCACATTTCTCTCCAATTGTCTCCACTTGTGGCTCGACCTGGTCCTTCTCTAGAGGCTGCTCATCCATTTCCATTTTAGCTTCAGTATTCTCCACTTGGTCTTCCACCACCTCTGTTTTAAGCTGCTCTAGCACCTCTTCAACAGTATTCTCCAAAGGTCTCCACCTGGAATCCACGACCTTGAACCTGTCATGCTCTTCCTTCTTTTCTATCATATGTCCCAGTTTTGTTGCAAAGTATAGCAATTTTCCCATATTCCGGTCAATCCCAGCACCTAGTACCTTGAGCTGGAAGACAAACGAACATTTTGTGGGAATTAAAAACTATATCCAAACTGCTCGTACAATTATCCCATGTACCCAGACTATTATCAGAAGAGAGCGTACAAATATTCAAGTTGGCAGAATTGATATCCAAAAATAACAAACATTGATTCCATAGAAATATCCAAATGCATAAAATTAATATCCAAACATCATAAACCAGTATTCATAACTGAAAAGAAACCACAAGCTGATATCCAAATGAAACCAACAAATATTCCAGAACAACAAACTAAAATCCGACTAATATCCAAAGCCATTCCAACATGGCATCAAATTCACGGAAAACAGTACAACCCCCCACCAAACAACGGAAAATAGTAGATCAAATTCACTCTTGCTGTTCCAAATTCTAGACAATCGTTTGGACCTTGTCCCTTCGAGCCACCCACTTTTCAATCATGCTCTCAGTCATTTCTTTCAATCCCTTAAGCTGCACATATGTTGTGAAATATTTAGGTTACTGTATCGTCCAAGTCTACCAATGCACGATCTTAGTTAGGGATGAAGAAAACATTTTACCTGCCCTAGCGAAAGGCTAGTCAAATCTTCAGTCTCCCACCATTCCGCGGTGGGCAACGGTGCACGATCTGGAGGAGGAGCTGAACTGCTTGCAGCTGCTGCACTAGCTGCCGGCTGGAGCTGCCTGCAAGAGGCGATTTCTTCCCTACTCAGCAGAGCGGCAGCTAGGTCATATCTTCCCCTGACTAAGGGGATAGATGTGCCTGCCCTCTCGACACTTTGATTCCACCAAAAAGGCAGCTAGGGATGGTCTTTGTGTGCAACCCGCCTAGTTTTAGAGAGTCCAACAGATGGAGTTGTAAAAAAAAATTGCAATTAATAAATGTTAAGTTCCATGTCTAGCAATTTAATCAACAAATATCCAGAGTCAACACAAACAGAATCTTATGTGACTAAACTGATATCCAGAAATCATTTTAAGCTAGTTTTCATGCAAACAATATCTTATGTGACTAAACAAATATCCAGCAGATCATACCCAAATACGAAATTCACTAGTTTTCATGCAATTGAACCAACAAGTATAGAAAATGTTAGGACTTACTGTCAAGAAGTAGCAATCTCCGAGAACCCACACACACGGTGAGCCCAACGCCCTTGCACTATGTTCTTTTTTCTTGGCAACAGTCAACTCTACTTTCAGTTCACGGACAATAAATGTACACCAATCGTACACCCTCACGTCCTCAAAACTCCCACCTAGGTATGGGGCAAAGTCCAGCTTGCACCTTCGAGAAAATGTTGGCACGAGCATCGAACCAGTAGCTAGCATCAAGAATTGCTTGACAGCAATTGCAACAGGTGGTCTAGGACCGTGGACTGGAATGGCCAACTCCCGCATCTGCTTGATAGGAACCATGCGAGCCCTATTCGAAATCATGCCAACTTCCTCGCTGAAACTATCAAGCATCCCCCCCTCAACGTTCTTCAAATCAATCACAGCCCCACCGAGAGGAAGGTCGTAGACACGTGCCACATCCTCAGCTGTGAAGTCGAAGACCTTCTTCGAGTCTCCTTCCCCAAAAACAAAAGTACTGGATGAGGAGTCATAAGCAGCCATCAAGTCGTCCATGAAGACATTGGGTATCTTCGGCATGCGAAGCTCCAATAGGCCCCTGAATCCTGCCTTCTCGACTTCTTTCTTGCAGGCTGCATAGTATTCAGCATCTTCTTTCCAGTAGTTTATAATTTTGAAGAGGGAATAGGTGGACCCACGAAATCTGAAATATGAGCCGCAGGGACCCTCTCCCTCATCATCTTCTTCCTCATCTTCCTCCTCAACTTCTGGAATAGCAGGCGGCGGCTGCCTTGATTTTTCTCCTTGACGAGATCTCGATGCAACCATTTTCGTTCTCTTCATCCAGGGTTGTTCCTGAAACACAGTTATATATTAAGCAAAATATCCATAATCCTTGGACAAATAACTAAAACGCACACTTATATACAATACAATTATCGTAGTAAAGCAAAAGTGTATCCAAACGGAGATAACTGATATCCATGAAAAAAATATCCATAATACCCAGAAAAATAACTAAAACGAACAGTTAAGTATCCAACTTAACAGAACTGATATCCACACATCATACACATTAGATTATTTTTTTAGCCAATACATACAATTATTATCGTAGTAAAGCAAAAGTGTATCCAAACGGAGATAACTGATATCCATGAAAAAAATATCCATAATATCCAGAAAAATAACTAAAACAAACAGTTAAGCATCCAACTTAACAGAACTGATATCCACACATCAGACACATTAGATTATTTTTTTAGCCAATACATACATTTATGTTCGTAGTAAAGCAAAAGTGTATCCAAACGGAGATAACTGATATCCATGAAAAAATATCCATAATGCCCAGAAAAATAACTAAAACGAACAGTTAAGTATCCACATTAACATAACTGATATCCACACATCAGACACATCAGTTTATTTTTTTTAGCCAATATAATTAATCGAGAAACGAAGTGAGAAATCAAACCTTTGGTGGTGGTTCATCCGGCGGCTGCTGTGATGATCCAGCTGCTTCACGAGATTTCGCTGCAGATTTTGGTGCAACAGTTTTGGATTTCTTCCTCACGGGTTGTTCCTGAAACATAGTTAGATATTAAGATAACTATCGTTCAATGAAAATATTAAAATGCATCCGACTAGTAATTTTTAGCCAACATAACCAATCGAGAAACGGAGTAAGAAAAGAAACCTCTGGTTGTTGTTCATCCGGTGGCTGCTTTGATGATCCTTCTCCCTCATTGTTGGGCTTTGAGTTCTTTTTCGGTCTCCCCATTCACTGAAACAATATAAAAAATGACCAGAATAAATATCATAATTGACAAAACTGATATCCATATAACCTTTAACCAAGGAATCGACAAATGATACCCAGATTCAACAAAATCGTATCCAACAAACCCCCAAAATGGAATTCGAGAAACCATAATGAAACAATATATAAAATGACCAGAATAAGTATCGGAAGTGACAAAACTAATATCCATGTAACATTTAATCAAGGAATCAAGAAACAATACCTAGATTCCCCAAAATCGTATCCAACAAACCCCCAAAATGGAATTCGAGAAACAATAAATCTGGTAACTAGAAAAAAAAACCAGAGCCCCAAAATTCGAATCCCACAGACCCAGAATTTGGTAATCTACAAACAAAACCCTAAACACCCATATTCGAATCCATGAAACCCTAAATCTACAAATCGAAAAACGAATCCATAAACCCCCAAGTTCGAATCCCACGGACACAATATCTGGAAATCTAGAATCAAAACCCTAAACACCCTAAATCGAATTGCATGAACCATAAATTATCAAATCCATAAACAAAACCCAGATTTCCACAAACAAATTCCATGAAACCGAAACCCTAACATAAATTTTCAAATCCACAAACAAAATGAACAATAAAGAGAGAAGTAGAACTCCCTCAGTGTCTTCTTCTACCTCCCACTATCGGCGGCGACGGCGGCGGCCTTCTTCGTGAAGTCGGCTCCCTCTTCTTCTTTCTTCTTCGTCGCCGGCGGCTTCTTCCTCGTCGGTCGGTCCAGCGTCAACGTCGTCGGCGGCGGGAGATCCAACAAGCGGTCGCCGACCTCGCAGCCGTCGTCGCCGTCGCTTTCCTCGTCGGCGTCGCAGACCTCGTCGCCAACAGCGGTGGTTTTCTACGGTTTTCGGGAGAAGAAGAAAAAGAGAGGGGAGAGAGAATGGCTGACGCGGGTTTGTTGGGTTTTGGGTTTGAAATTTGGGGTTTTTTTTTTAAATTTATGTCCCCACTTTTCCCAAAAGTGGCTCGGCTTGGCCCAAAAAATCTCCCCCCCTCACAGAACAGTGCCGGCGACCCCTCACCCTCTGATGGTGGCTCGGCGACGTGGCCCATCATCCCACCCTGTTAGTATCTGCTAACCACTTAAAGGGTTAGCAGAATAACTCTATTGTGTTGGCGGCTGGTGCTTGGGGAAAAATAAATGGTGGGAGGGGTAACAGTGGGGTTTTCGGTTTCGCTTTTTCTTCCCAGCCATATTATACGAGCAAAATTGTAACCGAATCAATCACTAAAAAGGCCGGTTAAATCAGAATTAATGGGCTCATTTACTCGGGTCTTCATTCTAGGACTAGGCTCGCTTTGATTCAAGTTTTATTACATAAATGCCGATCCAATTAGCAAAGTCCACCCGACCTAGATCTTTGGTTGGATCTTGATCTAAAAACGAATTTGCGTTCGTAACTTCCTCATTTTATATAAAAATTCGACCTCGTCTGAATTTACTCAAAACTTGACAAATTAAACCAAAGGCACAATGGTCTTTTCGACTTAGAAATAAGATGGGGTGTAACACAGGTAGTACTGCTTCTTGGGTTTGGAAGAGATTGCTAAAGGTTAGGGATAAGGTGGAAGATTTCTTTCAATGTTGGGGAACATAGGTTTATTGGAATGATAAAAGGATATTGAGATACTCTGTAAAACAGGTTTGGCAGGATTTACAGCATGTTAGACCTGTAGTTCCCTAGTATCAGCTTGTATGGGGAAGACACTCTATTCCTAGACACAGTTTCTTGAGTTGGATTGTGGCACGCAATAGGATAACCACATTGGATCAATTGAAGGGTTGGGGGAAGGTGTTGGATGATAAATGTCTGCTCTGTTCTGCTCATACAGAGGATTGAAACCATCTATTCTTCCAATGCCAATATACGTTCAAGGTGCTGAAGGGTTGCCTGCAAATGCTTGATCAAAGATGTCCTCCGTTAGCCGAAGACTACTTGATGTGGGTTGTGAGGAATTTTAAAGGTAAGAAGGCGTTAGCTATGGTTGGTCGTTTGGTTTGGAATTTAGTAGTAAGCATGGTTTCGAGGGAACGGTGTGGCAGACTGTATGTGAGTAAATCAATGCTCTCTTCGTTTTTCTTTTTCCTTCTTTTATTTATAAGTATCAAGAATGGAATCCAACTAGCCAAATATGTATGGATTCTATCGGCATTTGAGGTATATTCGTTATGCTCTCCCATACTCCTTTGTTTAGACCAATGCAGACATTGTCCAACTGAAACTGTGGGATGTGGATTAGTATACTGATCTGCATGCTCTACCTTCAATATGTTGAATGTTATCTATGCATTTGGGGGACAACTCGTGTGTGCTATGTGCAAAGTTTTCGAAATGTTTTTTGATATTGCCACCCTCTGAAATGCAGTTTCATACTCAACTTACTATGAATTCCTAGTCTCTACTATGATACGCGATCTAGTGAGGCTAGTGTAGTGACTATGAAGAAGGTCCTCGACATGAGATTAAAAACCACTTGATATGTCTGGATACCATCCCTTCCTTTATCTCTAGAGAACTTTTAAACTCTACCAATGAATCTCACTCTTTTAACTTATTGTATAGGGTAAACTGTATCTTTATCAATAAAAAATAATACCTGACATGCATAAAGAAATCTTTCATAACAAATAAAGTGTGGGGTAAAAGATGCCAATGTATAAGGAAATCACTCATAGCATAGGTGGAAATAAAGATTCAACTGAGCAATGGTTGTGACAGTATGATGTTTCTTCACTATTAATCTCTGCCCAGTGAAGTGTCGTTTTAGAATTGTACTTAGAGGACATGGATAGAGCTTCCGATACCCCTTTACAACTTTGACCCTCCACACGAATTAAGGATAATGAGTTAAGCGAACCCCTTATGCGAGTGTTAAGATCAAGGTTCAAAAATTCGTTAGGCGTAAGGCGGGTGTTGCGACTTCACCTAGAGCCTAGCTCGCCTAGGCATTTTAAGAAAAATAGTCATTTTTAATAAATGTTAAATGAGTTAGGTGGTTTGCAACACTTTTCACTCCACCTAATTCAAATAATTAATAACTTAGTTAACACTTGACAAAAAATAAATAATATGATGAATGAACTAACATTTTAACAACCTCGTATGTCTGATGCTTCTGATTCAGGCCCAAATGTACACATTTTACCCCTCATTTCTTATTCATTTAGCTTAGTATTTCATCGTTCTTCGATATATTTCATGGTAGGTTGTGTTTGTTTTGATAAATTTAGGTCCTAGCACGTGTGGAAGGGTCGATGTCGAATTTTGGGATAATTGGAGGTCAAAAAGTGCAAAAACCGAAGAAAAGTCTGAAACAATGAAGTGAAGACGTCCCGGGAAACAACCGCAGTTCACGGCCAGATGAGGCAGTTCATGGTCTCCTAAGACCGTGAACTTCGACCACAAACCATGAACACCGAGGCGTCCAGCGAGGCACCTGAAGTTACTGACGACAAAGCAGTTCACGGTCTCTAAGACCGTGAATTGTGGCCATTGACCGTGAACCCAGGAAGCAAGACGGTGCGTTTTGGAGACGAATGAGTTCACAGACGCTTTTAGGTGTTCACGACCATGAACTGGCCAGCGTGTCTGTGAACTTATCGCTTTCGGGCAAATATGAAGAAAGTAGCGGGGAGAGAGAAAGGGGGAGATGGTTTTTGGAGAAGAATTGGTTTCTCTCTCTAGGGTTTGCCCAAAAACACCAAAGGGGAGTTCTAGTGAGAGAGAGAGAGAGTATGCTGGATTGATCTTGAAGCATCATTGGAGGCTTGGGTGGATATTTAAGCTTAGAAGAAGAAGAAGATCTTGAGCTCAAATTTGTAATCCCTCTCTCTCTCTAGAAACTCACTCTTTTCTCTTGGGTGTTGTAGATCCCTAACTAATACTTTGTAATTACTTGTTTAGATTGAATGATTGTCAATGGGTATTGTTTAATTCAATGATTGAGGTATTATTCATGTTGATTGTGCATGCTTGTGCTTAGCAATCTAAGGGTTGTGCATGTTTTGTGCTTAGCATCCTTCGGTTTGTGCATTTTGGTGCTTAGCAAGATAAGGATTGTGCATGATTGTGCTTAGCATCCTTAGGTTTGTGCATGTTGGTGCTTAGCAATCTAATTTAGGGAAAACTTCAATGTCGAATTAAGCAAATTGGTTAAGCGTGATTAAGTCGTCCAACCTTGAGTTGAGTGAGGGAGTAAGTCACCACCGATTGCCTAAACTGAGAGGGCCGAGTAACACGACCTATAATGTTTACCTCTGTTTAGCAATCGAGATTGTGGTCTACGATCATATTTGCATCCCTCTGCGGTTCGCGGTTACCAGTTTGCATCTAGGTTGGCTGTGATTAAGCCGCTCAAACTCCTGTTTGAGGGAGAGACCTAGGCAACCACTAGAGCCTGAGTGAGATGATCTATCCCGTGACAAATCGATCTATAGCGAATCCATCTTGTGACAAATGGATCACTAGTTGCTCCTCCTAGCGGTTCCCCTAGACTTGGTGAGTGGATCGATCCCTAGACAAATCGATCTCTAGTGAATTGATTCCGTGATAGATTGATCACTAGTTGTTCACCCCCGCGGTTAAGAACTACCTACGCCACACGACTTCATTCAATCCAACGAGTCATGGTAGCTAGTTATGGGGAAGCAACTCCTGGGTGAAGTTCCCTTAGTTATGATTTTCCTTCATTTACTTTTCCTTGCTTGTTTAGGTTGTAGTTCCATTAGACCTAAACACCAAAATTGTTTTGATAGATAACAACTTAAGCGATTGAAGTAAGGGTACATGGACCGGCCCGTGTTGACAATTTAAATACTTGCTCTATACTGCACCCAGCTGGAGTTTAAAAACTTGGACTCTTGTCGGAATTAATTTGTGGTGTAGTTTCGTGCGAGTTAGCTTCACGTATTAAACATGTATTAGATATGTACAACATGTTGAA